TTGTGTTCTGCCAGAATTCGTAAAAAACTCCATCTTTCCTAGTTGGCTTGCATTCCTGAAAAAAAGAATCAGAAGTAGTTGTTATAATACATCATAATTCTCTTCTTTTTTTGAATTCCTGGCAGACAGTTACCATGTAAAACCGAAAGTTACCTTCACTGAGCCCTCTCCAGATTGGGGTATATTTTCATAATTTTTATACTATTCTAGTCTGGTCTGTCTATAGTACAAAGAAGTAAGAACTCGAACATTCAGAACGAAAAATAGAAACAAACATCAGTTTATTAAATGATATTTTCCCCTTGCTTAACTGTTTGAAAACTGTATATCACATTCAACAACTTTCAGAATAGGAACCTTGGATAAAAGCACAATTCTGAAAAAAGGCAATCAGAGGATAGCCGGGACAACATTCATCTATGTTTCCAAAAAAACACAAGCTAAATCACCATCTACACTTTATAAGAAACTATCACCAATAACATTAAGCTAGTGATTTGAGTTTAATAAAAATATGGCAAGGGATCAGGGAAACTAAGAGCATTGGGAAAAAAAGAGGGAAAAAGTAAGACCAGGAGGAAAATCATGTCACAAACAACAAAACTCTATTAGAAGCATAAAAATTACAGCCCACATATATTGAATAGATAAAGATATACCAGTGTTTTAGCTATTATTGATAGAGAGTACCATTGAAGAGTCACGGAAGCAACTTATAAAAGATAGCATACATGAGTTGCCACTTCTACAATAAGAATATAAGGTTATAGTGCATGTCTCTCTTTTAATAGAACACAATAAAGATGCCTTCAATTGTTGCTATGAAGTAGAAGAAGGCGGTCGAGTTGCGTAAACTACAAATGTATTTGAATTTTGAACATTAGAAAAGGATAATTTACAGCAGAGTCCTTGTTAGTATAAAGAATGTAAAAAGTAAACATTAGGAGTGAAAGTATAATAGAACCCACCTTTGTTGATAGAATGGCTAGGTTGATTTGTTGTGTCATCCCCCTTTCCCGGTTACATGTAGTATTAAATGCCAACCCTCAATAATTAATGCCTCTTTTCTATTGGGTTATTGAGTAGTATTTAGCTTCAAAAATGAAAAGCAGAACTCGTCGTATTTGAGCTCACCCATTCTAAAAAGTCAAACATATGACAAGATTACTATATATCATCCACTTGAACAGGTTCAACAAATAGAAACAATCAACATTGTTCAACTTACGTGCGTGAAAAAAAAAACTGATGTTCAGTAGGTAAGTTTGTTATGCAACAGAAATGCTAAAACATTTAATTTTAATCTTCAAATTTGAAAACTGTACACTTCTAGTAATGTAAGAAAATCTTCAGGAAGAAGTATATTTGTTGGTACTAAATTTTCCGTTCACAGAACAATTTATAAACTGATGCAAGTTTCTTCATACATAGCCAACTACAGTTATTTCTCATGCTAATCTAATCTATAAACTGATGCAAGTTTCTTCATACACAGACAACTACAGTTATTTCTCATGCTAACCTTATCTATTTCAATGTCAGACAGCTGATTCAAACCCACTATGTATATGTTCATCAACAGGTCTGTAGAAATGGCCTGCAATAAAAATATTCTTTTCATAAAGATAGCATCAACCAACTTCATTTCCAATTCTAACTGACCCAAACTTTTCCATACCTCTAGCACCCCAGTGATAAATAATGGAGAAAAATATGAGAGATTTTTTCCTGCAAGGAGAGAAACTGAAATGATACTCAATGCCTGCACAGAAATGAATTGCAGTAAATGACCCTTTTCTTCAGAAAAAACAAGTGTAATCTATAACTTTGGAAAAGAAATGTCCGTTTTGTTATAATCAAGTATTGTATTACTTGCAAGATGTACTTAAATTTACTTTTTGTTATAATCACTTAACAATACTCGCAGGTACTCTTCATAACTAATTGTTTGCCAATCACCCAAACTACTTTCACCATATACGAATGGCTCAAAAAGGCCAATGGCCTATTCAGTATTTAATAGTCAAAGCAATAGCATACAGCTCCCCATTATTGCATAATCAAGATTAATAGTTGCTAACAAAAATCAGATATCTATTAGCTTCAAAAATAAAGTAAAAATTAAGGTTATGCTTTAAACTTACTGAGCAGCAACAGGATAATTGGTGCCATGAGAGAGGAGAAACGACGCCATTGCCATATAAGCACTCTCTTCCGGAAAGCATTCGAATTTGATTTGCAAGACGCAGTTCCATCTGTAATAATTCAGAACTAATATTTCAAGAAAACAATCAAGAGTGTATTAATGCGTGTTTACTTAAAATATAATGATCCTTTACTTGAGGGAGAAGAAGCGGCGGAGGTAGTGGTGGGTCTTCTCCAGCAAAATTTGACAGAAAGTGAGGTTTTGACAGGAAATTTGAACTTGCTTCCGGACGTAAAAGAAGCGAAGGAACTGAGAAACGACGAAGGAATTGTCGCGGCTTCTACTTCTCGTCCAACCATGAACAGCGAAAATCGAACCAAAAAAATAAACATTAAGCAAAAATCGAAGCGCGAATCTGTAAAAATTCCTGTGGAAGAGTGAAGAATGTGAGAAGACGATTTCTAGGGTTTCTTTCTTTGGCCCCAAGAGCGAAATCACGAGAAAGGGAGAAGGGGGAAAGAAGGATCTAGAGAAACCGATTGAGAGAGAATGAAGGAAAGAAGAAGGAGGAATGGTGGTTGCAGGAGGAATGGCGGTCGCGTGGGGGAGTGGAGTAACGAGGAATGGTGGTTGCGTGGGAAAACGGGGAAAGGGAAAGAAAAGGGAGAAAGTCAGACAAGAGAAGGAAAATCGACTGAAAAAGGGCAAAAAAAAAAAGGGTACCGCTATTTCCATCCACACTTTTTATATATTCATCCCACACTAAGTTCATCCACTACAAAATTTTTAAATTAAAAAAAATACTATTTACATCCACGTCATTTTTCAATTTTGTCCCTTAAATTCATTTATTTAAATACTGTGTACATCCACATGAATTTTATATATTCATTCCACTTTAAATGCATCCCTAACACTATAAATTCACACAATCCCTAAAATCATACTCTTGTCCACCGCCAGTTTTTTAGGTTGGGCACTAACGTCTCTTTGCATGCACCTACTGTCAGAAACTAATCATTCCTTCCAGTTAAAACCAAGTTTGTATAAGCAATCTTAAACAAATATACTTCCTGAATTGGAACTTTTCTAAATACTTGTGAAAAAAATCAACTGCAATTGAGAGCAAAAAAAAAAAAAAGAATTGAAGATAAAGAGACAATTTGCAAGTCCATAACATGTCAAGATCAAGAAAATCTTCCCATTTCATTTTATTTCAATTCTGGCTATACTTCGTCACATAATTCCACATGATGAAATTCTAATATTGCAACAATTAGTCAAAACTCCATCCAAATCTCTGCATCTTTGCTATTAATAGAAGACCATCTACCCAAATTTGAATCAATATTTCGAGGCAAACTTTTCATAGTAATTTCCAAATGTAATAAAAGCTGTTAGCAAATCATCATTCAAGATTTATCAATATTTTATCGAAACATCCATTTTGAGAGTAAACTAAACTACAAGAAGGAGAAGGATGAAACCGGGGGAGAAAGCCCAGAACCAGAGGACAAAGTAGTAAAGGGAAATGGAAAAACAAAAAGCACAAGTAAAAGCAACACAAACTAACCAAACACAGGCAACACAAATGAGAGAAAGAACAAGAGGGGAAAGGAAAGGGAGGGAGGGAGCCGGAGCTCCCACCCCCGGGCGAGCGCACAGTTGATCTACAGGGGCAGGAGAGAAGGGGGAGGGTTTAGAGAGAAGAGTGTATTTTTTGTTTATGTCTATTTAAGTAAATTTACTAAGGATTTAAAATATAATAAAATTTAATTTTTTAAAAGTGGATGTATATATAAAAAGTGTGGATGGAAATAGCGGTACCCAAAAAAAATGCAAAAAAACCCAAACGGCTCAGCTAACCGGCTGACTCGAAACGGCTCGGCTTACTTGGCTATTTGGCTTAGGAACAGTAAAACTCATCCTCCTCTTTTATACTACCTCTGTCCCATATATATAGGCTTGTAAGGATGCTAGTTGATGCACGTGCAATGCACGTGTTTTAGTTTAGTTGACTATCTAATAGCGTGAAATGATTGTTGGTTATTTTACACAAATTTGGACCAGATTTTTGTCTCAAGATTGCACTATAAGTAAGGTAATATTTCTAGTCTATGGATTATGAGCTTCCTCTTTTATACAGCCTGTGAAGAAGGGAGGCTGATAATTTAAGGTGATAACTAAATCCAAAATAAGATTAGTGCTAGAAAAAATTTCCACCACCTCCTTTTTTATTCTTCTGTAGAAAAGCCTTGTCATCTTACAAAATAGCAACATGTTTCAAATAATAAGGGAGAGAAGAAAGTTTAAGCAACATGATGTCACTCCAATACACTGGAATTTTTTGGCAACAGGGTGTTATCCCGAATGTTCAAGTCCTTGAGTGAATATTCCATTCCTATGAAAGAAGGTTGGTAGAGGACTTTCAGGTCCAATTGTAATAACCTGTCCATCAGGTTATTCGTAGTTCTTCTCAACAGATGAGCTGTTCTTGGCAGTGCCAGTCTCAAGCATCTGCTTATAGTCAAGTGCCATGTAAGCAAGCTTCTTCTTCATGTGATGGACAGTTTCCTTCACAACTGATGTGGTGAACATGTAACCTCTTTCAGTGAGGATCTTCATAAGATAGTATGTGAGGTCACGACGAGCAAGGTTCAGACGAAGGATGGCAAGGGTCAGAGCATGCCCCTCATAAATGGGGACAATGTGACTTACATCATCACTAGAATCCAGCATAATACCTGTCATGAATAGAAATTGGTAGGAAATTAAATGAAATTACTTGTGTGCATATTGAAGGGAGAATATTTAGATTTCAAGAACTGATACATACCAGTAGTACGACCACTTGTAGTATAAAGAGAAACAATAGCCTGGATAGCAACATGCATTGCTGGAACGCTAAAAGTCTCAAACATGATCTGTGTCATATTCTCTCTGTTAGGTTTGGGATTGAGAGGTGCCTCAGTGAGAAGCACAGGATGCTTCTCAGGAGCAATACGAAGCTGTGATGCCGATCTTTTCCATGTCATTCCAGTTGCTGACTATAACATACTGAATTGGGTATTTTAAGGTAAAGATACCTCTCTTAGACTGAGCTTCATGATCCACATATGCATCTTTCTATGCCATCCCAACCATAACATCAGTGTGTCGAGGTCAGCCCATAATGGTTGGGGAAACTGCACTGGGAGCATCATCACCAGCAAATCCTGCCTGAATATAAAACAAAAACAGTTATTCTCGTTGTAACCAACTTGATAATAATTTAATAAGTGATATGGGATTCCAACTAACCCAAGAATATTTGCTAACTTTCACCATTTCAGTTCTATTATCACAAACAAGGGGCTTAATATTCTCATATGCCATATCTATTTACTGGAAAAGGAAAACATATGAATTTAGTATGGAGAATCACATAGATCAAAGAAGACAATGTAAGTAGTTATAGACAGGTTAAACCAGAAATAAGATTTGTATCGTCTCCGTTACGTTATTAATATATATGCCCTTGATTGTAACAATTATCGTCTCCGTCCACGTTACCTCAAAGTAATAAACTTTAAACTTACGTGGTTACCTCGTTTTAGTCTTTTCACGTCTGCCTTCTCATTTGTTCTCCTTCTAAATGTCCTGACTTCTACTCCTTTTTGGAAGGAAAAGTGCACACACAAAACTGTGTGCCAGAGGCCATTGGAGGCCTCATGAAGATGCTAAACTCAAAGAACTCGTTGCCCAGTTTGGTCCTCAAAATTGGAATCTCATTGCTAAGAAACTTCAAGGAAGATCAGGTCAAAACATTAATTTAGTCTTGGGAATCATAAAGTTTAATTTATTTATTAATTTATTTATTTTCTATTTATTCATCTGCTTGTTGATTACTTTAGGGAAAAGTTGCAGATTGAGATGGTTCAACCAATTGGATCCACGGATTAACAGAAGTGCTTTCACTGATGAAGAAGAAGAAGCACTTTTGGCTGCACATAGAGTGTATGGCAACAAATGGTCCCTGATTGCTAAGCTATTCCTCGGAAGGACTGATAATGCCGTCAAGAATCATTGGCATCAAAGAGCAAACCAGTACTTACAGAAGAAGGAAACCTGTTTTCTCACCGCAGGGATTTTCCATGACTGATCTCCAAATAGGCAATGAAAAATTCAATTTCATCAGATACATCGTTTTATGTATTCTTATTCATTCATTAGTGACTCAGAAAAATTCAATTTCCTAACTGTGAGACCTGGACAGAGAATTCTCAGCCATACGTTATATATGCTTGTTATGCCAAGCCACAAAATTTGTCTAGAAATAAGAAAGTGGACAGTACAACATTTGTAGGCTGAAAAAATACCAATAATGAATGTTAGATGTTAGATAACCAAGGGACAAAATGAGACTCGATTCTTTTGGATTTGGGTATAAGAACCCCCCAGGGAAAATATCATAATTGCCTGAAACCAAAGATGTGGAAACCAACATCAGCCAACATTTTGAATAGAAGATCTGGTAAATTTTAGAATCCTCCTTTTTCCTTCCAATTTATTTGTGAACATGAATTTTCACTCTAGGTTTTTTTGTTTTGGTTCCTAGATGTTTGAAAAAAAAAATCATCAATTCCTCAGAAAAATACAAAAATATTTTCCTTTTCAAGAGTAGAACATGAAACCCATAAAATATTATGATACTAATTGCATATTCATATGGACAATCTAACCACCATAGGAGAAATAGTTATCCAAGAGAATTTGGTAGGCACCTAAATGTATAACCTTACCCTTGATGCTCTCAAAGGCCTTACGATCTTTAAACAAGAGTAGCTAAATCAACTAAAGATTAATACTTCTCGAAAATATCTTTGACGAATCCAACATCAAACCAAAAATATATTCATGTAATGACTTGAATCTTTTTATAAGTTATAGATTCAATAATATAAAGTAGACGCAACTGCTAAGCAATCATAACACTTTGATCAAAAAAATATAATAATTCTTTTTATTTTTACTATTTTGTAATTTCTAGCTACTTGCTTACTGGAGTAGATAAGACAAATGGAGCTATATTTCTATATGTTCCACAAAATTGATTTGAGAATATTTTCCTTGATATAAACGTTTAAACCTCATTGGATAACCACTTTATAGAGTGAAGGAAATTGATTTAGACAACTGGTTTCATCAGGTTAATATTAATTCGAAAATGCATACACAACATGTGAAGTTTAAGGTATACTTTAGTATAAATGAATGTACGTGAGCCTGATGTTGAAAAAAAAAAAAGAGATTGCCCAAGTTTCTATATCACCAGTGTTAAGGAAGGTAAAGTCACCGTTTTAAGTAATGTACTTCGAAAAAATAAAACTTACATAAATTCACACAAGAAACGAACAAATCTGTTGCTAATCAGCTGAGAAAACTGCAATAACAAAGTCGAACCTCGGTTGCAAGTTGCAACCACAAAGGCAAACAGCAGTACATTTAAAGAAGGATGAAAAAATTCAATTACCTGCTGCTCAATGCTCTTGCTCATCCAATTCCACTGTTACCATGTGGGTGGGTTCATCATTCCAGATGGCATGATGAAATCTCTCCAAAAGATTTCGTCCAAGGCATCAACAACCATCAAAAGCATACCAATTCTATAAAATTTCTAGCACAATATGATTTCAAAAATAACTACATGAATAATTCAAGGATGAATTTGGTGTTTAACGAAAGGTAAGAGACTACAAAACAGTTCGAGAAACCTCGAAACAAAGACTGATAAGCCGAGGAACCCACTACTTATTGCCAAGGACAGGATAAATCTTAACATGTATATAAATCAAATTTCAGTTACAAATCTAGCAGAGAAAAATTAGATCTTCAGTTTCATAATTGGACTGCAAAAACAATGGTTGTAAAACATCTTTTTTTCACAAATTCCCACTGTAAAATGTTTGTGAAGCTATCAAATTTCAAGTAATGAATTCGCACAGTACAAATATATGAGACAAGCAAAAAAATTCATACCTGAAGGCGAGATATGTCACTTTTTGCACCATCTGATACAAATATATCATCTTCTTCTATGCCGAGGTTCTCATAGTAGGTTTTGGCGATGGCAGCTCTCAATTGCTGTACAAATCAATAGGTGCTACCATTACCATTAGTTATCAGAGATATGACAACATTGAACTTTCATTTACAATAAGACATTTCTTAACCAAGGAATAAACATAGAAGAACATTCAGAAAGGTAGAGGAAGAGGAAGAAATATGTCAGACAGTAAGCATAAATATCCAAATTCATCATTAAAGCCATGATAGTGTATAATAAATTAGAAACAGGACACTATGTGGATCTCTTCAAACTAAACAATTAGTTTAGTTAACAATGAAAGCAATTTTTGTTGTTCATTACCAAGATAGTGTATAATAATTTAGTAACTGGACACTATGTGGATCTCTTCAAACTAATCAGTTAGTTTAGTTAACAATGAAAGCAATATAAATGTATTGAAAGGTTAAATGTTGCTTAGATTCTACCACTTAGAGGTCTGGAGATATATGCAATAGAGTCTCTTTTTTTTATTTACCTTTGAAGCATTCTGAACTAGTGCACTCTTTAACTAAAAGTAAAGTTTTTCCAGTCACCCAAGAATATAACAATAATGGAAAAATCTCCCAGTTTATAGAAGGCTTCCTACCCTGCTTTAATTCTATATATGAAAGTCACATTTTTTACAATCACTCAAGATTATAACAATAATGGAAAAATCTCCCAGTTTATAGAAGGCTTCCTACACTGCTTTAATTCTATATATGATAGTCACAACATGTAAGTAACAGTAAACATTTAACAGTTAGATACCAAGATGCACCTCATAAATTTGGGGAGCCAAAGTTGGGAAAACAAGATTTAAACGGGATATGAGTGAGCTACAGACAGGGAAAAAAAATGAAACTCAAAATATTAACTCATCCCAACCTCAAATAAATATTGCCTTGATAATAGACAAAATTGACCCTCATTTTCCCTTCTGATGCGAAAAATCCGATGATCGTAAGCACCTCTTAACCAACGTACACACGCATGTACTCAAATGCAAGGAAACCAATTTTTTTTTTTAATATGCTGTCAATGAACACAGAATGTATTTCTTCATTTCTCTAAAAACTGGAAGTGTGGGGCCTATTTATGGATTCTTTGAACCGAAAATACCATATTGAGATATTTTCCCTATTCTTACACCAGTACACCGCCTCTCTCATTTGTTACATGTAAAATCTCAAATCACATAAAATTGCCACCTGCATATAACTCCATTTCTACTCCCACGTCACTTTTCAGCCTTCATTTGTGCAACAAATTCAAGGATATTAAGAATACATTGAATCTTGATTCAAATTTCAAACACTAGTTTCTGGGCAGCTTGTTGAAAAATCTTCAAGTTTTGCCTTCGAAATGTTGGCTGTTTTTGGAATATCAATCAGTAAACCGCCCTTATCTTTATTAAAATAAGCATTCAACACACCTGCACAAGAAGCTTCTCGCACAGTGACAAAGCTAGCTACCTACACTTCCCCATCACTACTGAAAAGAAACATCAATCAGTTGTCTCCATTTAAAGCTCTAAGCTTGAAAAGAAGAGGCAAAATGAATTTTTTTTTTCTTTTTCCTTTTTAACTAAAAGTAAAGTTTTTTCAGTCACCCAAGAATAGAATATTAATGCAAAAATGGCAAGTCCGAAACTTTCCTAAGAAATTAAAGAAGTGACATAAAATTTCCTTAATCTGATTACATTTATTTCATTTACAAACTAACTGATATCTTTTATCCATTGTCATCAAACAGAGAAAAAGGGTTTGGGTTTCAGAATTAGTAAAACAAAGAGAAACAAACACCACTATATATCATAGAAGAGTCAATCCTTTGCTATAAGCCAAAGAAATCAACCAACAAAACCAGCAGAAAATAAAATTATGAAACACGATCAAATATGAACGGAAATCCAAAATAATCATCTACCATAAATTCTTGACTAATATATCAAAGGTAAATTAAACAAAAGAATAGTAATGAATGAACTGAGCTGGTACTCGTTTCTAGAATATTAATGAATAAACTGAGCTGGTACTCGTTTCTTACACTCACCAGATACAATTGAGAGGTAGAGAGTTGCAGTTAAATATGGAGAAAAATGGGGAGGAATTGTAAAATCGAAAACCGCTTCCACCCAAACTGAAAGAAAATCAAAAAACCTTTATATTTGCTCTCTCGAACAAAACTCCCCTCTTCCCAAAATCCTTGTTCGCTTATGATTGTCCTGCGCAAGTGAAGACGACGGTAGGGTTTGAGAGTTTTGTTTTTCAACACAAGGTGGGCAAACAGAAATGAAATCAAAAAACAACACGAGCGCGACAAGGTTTGAGAATTTTGTTTCTGCAGAGAGTAAAACACAAGGCACAAGTGGGAAGTTTTGATTTTGCAAAGGGGTTTCCTCGTTTCGTTTCACCAGTAGAAAGGTTTTGATTTTTGCAGAGAGTTTGGTGTCTCCGTGCGCAACGGAGACACGGTTAGTGTCTCCTTGCCGGGGAAAAGGAGAGATAACTTACCTGGCGGCGTGGTGACGGTGGTGCTGGCGAGGCGGCGTGGTGACGGTGGTTTCTCGCAGAGGGTTTATGAATTGATAGCGCGACAAGCCACCGAGAAAGCGAGGATGCCGTTGGTTCTTGCAGAAGGTTTATTGCCGTGAATGAGAGTCTACGGCCGTGAACGAGAGCAATTAGGTCAAATTTCCATCCTCCAAACGGCATCGTTTTGGTTGAGATTGGAGAAGCCGACATCTGTCCAAGAAAAAACCGACTCTTTTAGGATAGTTAGGAGATTAGGATAGGATTAGGATTAGGATTAGGATATGCCGAATGGACCTTTAATAGTTGTAGAGGCAGAGCCACGTTAGGCCCATCCTGATCTCTGGGCTAAAAATTTTTTTTGGGCTAAATTTTTTTTTGGGAACAATACATAATCCCTAGTTTTAAAGTTTAAATTTCATAAATAACAAACTTGTTAAAATATTTCAAAAATCAGGTGAAAAATAAATTTATTAAATATTTAAATATAATATAATATACTTTATCTCTCCAAAAACAAATATATAATATACTTTACACCTCACCTACCCCATGACACCTCACCTACCCTCCATCTCCGGCACCTGCTCCGGCGATGGCCCGGCGACTACTCCGACGACATCTCCGGCGAAGATTCCGGCGGCCGCTCCGACGACGGTTCCGGCGACTCAAAAATTTCCAGAAAATTAAAAATTGAAAATTTCACCCCCACCCCCCTAGATCCACCTACCACCACCCCATCCCTGCCTCCACCTCCCAAAATATTACCGGAAAAAAAACAGTGTTCAGTGTGACTGCTTGTGACTGCATGTGACCAAGTGTGTACTCAATGTGACTAACTGTGACCAAATTTGTGTTGAGTGTGACCGTCTGTGACCAGGTCAATCTCAAGTCACAGTCGGTCACAATCGGTCACAATCAACACAAAATCGGTCACAATCGGTCATAATCAACACAAAATCGGTCACAACTAACCTTACCACCAACACAATCCCCACAGCTCTAATTGCTACTGAAACTCAAACAATTGGACAAGCAGCCAGCCCCTTCTCCATTACTAACACCCTCACCATTCCACTTATAAATCAAATCCAAACCCAAACACACAACCAGTCAAACACAAACGCAACCCCCACCGCCACAGTTCTACCTTCAAGTTAAGCCCATATAGCTAACTAGCCTAGTGCCACCTCAATTGGCCCTGAAAGCACGAGAGCCACCTCGTCGGAGCTCAGATCGCCACAACCATCGCCTGCACCACCACTAACACCATCACCGGCAACACCACCAATGAAAAAAATTAACAATGGCTGGAAATTATACTGTTAATATTCAACAGTTAATGAGTTTGGCTGGAAATTAAACCCTAAAGCTGGAAAAGCAGATGGCAATTTTGAATCCAAAATCAGGCGAATCGAACTTGCACCCCAACTCAAAGCAGGCCCGGAGCTCTTCCAAATCATCGTCTTCGGCACCTTTCCCAACCTTGAATACCTCTCGGTTTCGGGTAACGAGCTCACCAGGTATATTGGAGAACCTGATTTTTGCAGCTGAAGTAGCGTGACTGACGATTGTTTGCAGTAGCAACGTCGACGGCGACGTGAGGAGAAGCATAGCACCTCAAACCCGGCAGCACCACTGTGCGTAGCGGCTGATTTGTGCAGCTGACTGGAGCTCTTCCAACTCATCGTCTAGCGGCTGATTGGAGAACCTGATTTTTATAGCTGAAGTGGCTGTGGCGCGACTGACGATTGCTTGCAGCAGCGCCGTCGACGGCGACGGCGACGTGACGAGCAACATAGCACCTCAAAACCGGCGGCACCACTGATTTGTGCGGCTGAAAGAGAGGAAGAGAGACGGTAGATTTGTGCAGGTGAAAGAGAGGAAGAGAGACGATACAGTGTGGAGAAGAGAGGGAAGCGTGAAATGATTTGGGGATTTTGGATTGGGGGTGGGGTGCGTTGTATTGGGTGGGTTTCCTGGGTTTGAGAATGGGTGGGGTTGGGGGTGGTATGTTGATTTTAATTAGAGTTTTAATAATTAATTTAATTAAGACCTGATTTTTGATAAAATAAACATTCCACCTGATTTTTGAATTTGAAAATTTAAATACATGGTTTTAGATAATTCTCTTTTTTTTTTTTTTTAGTTATACACCGTCCCAGCCCAAGAGAAAAAGCCCAAGCCTCTGAGCCCAATTCCAAAAATTTAAACCTCGTTCACAATTCACAAATCAACATCACAAGTCCATCCTCTCCTCTTCTCTGCCCGACATCGACTGCTCCTGCCTCCTGCTCCGCCTCCACAGGACCACAGCTCCGCTGACCACAGTTCGCACCTCAACTCCGGCATATTAGCAGCCTCCGCTCAACAACTGCCGTTCAGAACTTCGTCTTCCACCCCAGAACTTCGCTGCCTCCGCAATCGCACGCACCAGAATTGCAGAAGGTAAAAAATACTTTTCTTTTCTTTTCCTTTCTTTTCTTGTTTCTCCCTTGAGTTTTTTTGTGTTGGTTGAGAAAGATGAAATCTTTAATTTATGCGATTTGAATTTTTCTCCAGACTCCAGCCTCCGCCTCCTCTGCAGTGACTTCTCTCCTCCCCAGTGTGCCCGAATCAGGTATTTTCTGAATTTCTTTAGCAATGAGTTGAAATTGGTGATAGTAGCTTGAGTCTTGACATAATATTGGAATTGTTCTTTGATAAAATAGCTACATTTTGATTTTTGGGTTTTGTTGNGCTACATTTTGATTTTTGGGTATTGCTGGGATTTAGAAATTTCTCCAGCCTCTGCGGCTCTGCATCTACGTTTTTGTTCTTTTTTTTAATGCTAGTAGTTAAGGTTTTGAATGCATAAAACATTAATAGATAGATCTTAGGGTATTTTATATTATGATTTATTTTGTCAATGTTTCAAGATGAAATGCTGGCTTTTACCCAATTATTCAAGGTACTTTGTATCCTAAAAAGAACCATCATATCTTTTACTATTCTTTATAGATATTATTGGTGTGACATTAGAATTTCTACTCATATCAAGTCACAGTTTAGAATAAGGCAACAAGTTGTCTACTCTTTATCATGCCAATGGCTAAAGGATTATTGGACTGCTCATATATGGACGAAGTTGCTGCATGGTCTCTGATTCTATATTTATGACATTTAATTTGCGCTTGGGGAATTGTTTTCGTCCGTTTAAGAAAATTATTTAGCATTTTACCTATATTTTCTTCATCCCAAACAATACAAAATGAAATATTAGTCATTTTGTGAAGGTTGAACCTCCTTTCTAAATTTCTCTCCCACACTCTTCATTTCTTATTTTATCTCTTTCTCCTTTCCGCTTTTCTCCAGCCTCTGTCGTATTATTGTTTTATATTTTTATATTCATTACATTCATGACAAAAACTCGACGTTTAACATCGATAAGTCGTGCCCCCCGACAAGAAATCCTGGCTCCGCCCCTGAATAGTTGTATCTAAAATTATGTGAATTGGTGAAAAGTCAAACGTTAATACACAGAGTACAGGACCTTGCCTTTGATTTAGTTTAGACGCGACTTTCTTCCCTCTCTTTCTATACACCACAGTCAAATTATTCAACGTCGACGACTACCATAGATTTAGATCTTCCCCAAGATTGTCTACAGATCTAAAGCCCTGCAGATTTGGATCTTCCCCAATATGATCCCTTGTCTCTGTTTCCTTGTCTCTGTAAATTTAAAAGATTTTATTTTGATTAGTACGTGTTTGGAGTGACACATGGTTCATATATTGTGTTGTGTTGGGGAATTTGTTTTCTTTTTAGGTTAATTTAGTCCATATCACAATTAAAATGCTAATCAAAATATTATTAAATTCCTTAATAGTAGAAAAACATGTCACAATGACCTTGATGGTGGGCATGACACCTAGCTGATATCTATTATCGTCACAAGTCACGTCTTGAGTTTCCTATAATTACACAGGACGAACTTTCCAGGGAGCCTTAGGTTTAAAAACCAAGTAAATCCAGCCATAAAGGGTGCCCAATAAAGAGAAAAGGAAAAACTACTTTTACCAAGCCTTTGCTTAGAAACTATTAATCATTTACAAATCCAACCTCCATCCTATGTTCATTTCAACTTGAAAAATATTGAGGCTGCGTTTGATTGCAAGTATGAAACTTGTATGAAAAAAATAGGTTCTAAATAATTGAATTGTCTAAAATTTATTTGCATGACCAAAGATTGTGGATGTTGTGGAATTCAACTAGAGATGGTGGCCTTTTCCAATGGTAATGGTGATGCAGACGAGAGAGATTGCGGTGGTGGTGCTATCCTTTTTAGTGGGGTGATGACGGCTTTATATTTTACTACTTATAATGGTTTGTAGGTTTGGAGAGGTGGTCGCAATGTTAGCAAAAGTGAGTGCTAATGATGTTGGCGTCAACGATGATGGTGGGCGACAGTTATGTGGTGCAACAAAGTTATGATAGTGTAAATAGTGACGATATAATACAATATCTTTCAAGTGTTGGCAAACAATGATTGTGTTGGTGGTGGTGACAATAAAGACAAGTGTTAGAATGGTGTAAATAATGTGACATACCTTGTTTCAAAATGTATCGTAAAGAAATAATAAACAATACAATATTTTGGAAATAAAAAATGGCTGTACATATATTATGAAATAGATTTTTTAAAGTCTATTTGTGAATTGTTGAGAGAGAGAGAGAGAGAGAGAGAGCATGCATAGTAGCCCACCCCGATTATTAGTTTACGATTTATGGTTTTAACTCTAAAATTTGAAATTTCTTAGTATCCCATGATTTATAAATTCACTAGTTATTGAGAATGCCTAAATTTTAAAAGATTTCATTGAATTTTATATTATGAAATAGATTTTTTAAAGTCTATTTGTGAATTGTTGAGAGAGAGAGAGAGAGAGAGAGAGCATGCATAGTAGCCCACCCCGATTATTAGTTTACGATTTATGGTTTTAACTCTAAAATTTGAAATTTCTTAGTATCCCATGATTTATAAATTCACTAGTTATTGAGAATGCCTAAATTTTAAAAGATTTCATTGAATTTTATTAAAATCTCAATTGGAACACCTACATTTTAATGAATTTCATTAAAATCTTGAGTGCACCTAAATTTATAATGATTTTTAATATTCATCATAATCTTAATTGAGGATACCCTCCTTAAACTTGTTTGATTAATTTTATAGAAGTATTCTTCTGGTTAGATAAGTTTTTGGAGTAAGTTGACTCAATGTAGCATACTCTAAAGCCCTGTTTGACTGCAACGAATTCCATGAAAAATGTCACATTTGAGAAAAAACGAATTTCACTTTGACCGTTTGATTGCAGCGTGGAAATGGAAATCGAATTCCAAGGTACAACCACTTTAAACTTCATTTTCTTTGTTTTCATGGAAAACGAATTCCTATGGATTTGGTGGTTTTTATTTTTCAACTAACATGTAATTGAAATTCATTTCCACCTTTACCTATCAAACGGACCCTAAAAGTTCTTTTGAAAGAGAAAGTTCTTTAGGAATAAATTTTCAAACGACAATTTTTTCAATGAAGACGTCGACAAAAAGTAGAAGTAGAAGTAAAAGCTAAAATCCTGTCAAATAGGCCCTAAATATGCGGACAATATTCGAATTATAAAAATAGTATTAGAAAGGAAATTGGTTTTATTCTCTCTTAGAACTACGAACTTTTTTATATTGAATTTCCCTAGCAGGCGATTGAACAAAAATGGCAGAACGGATATGTAGATCCCTACGCGACGGCGCGTTAGAAGGGGAGCACGCCCCTGCTCTCACTATAAAAGACTCAATTGAAAGTCCGTTTGGATCCCTAGTCTTCAATCACGTCCTCTCGCAGCTCTCTTCCTTTATTGTTGCACAAAAATCGCAGTCGCAGTGAGTCCACACTTCTTAAAGAAAACCCTAAAACTCAGATTCCAGAAGAGCTGTTCAGATTTACATTGTCTTGACAGTTATGTTTTCTTTTAATTTGCAGAGGTATTGTGCTGGTTGCACTTTCTCGGGGTCCTTTGTACTACGAAGAATTGTTTAAGAGTAAAGGAAACAATGTAGCTTTGTCAAATAAATGGTAATTTTTTATTAGTGTTTTAATAGTTTAGATGCATACTTGATAAATTATATACTGTATCCTTATTATTAACTATTGCAAGAAATTTGAAAATTTGATCAGGATTAGAGTTTTGGATTGTTGTACGGATCCACTGGGTTGGAGAAGCAAGCTTATGGAAAGTGGGAGAATTGCGAATCTCACTACTGGAACTTCAACTAGGGCTAATTTATACAAAAATGTGAAAGACTTGGATAAGTTATTGTCGGCAATTATTGAACTAGGGAAAGGTATGAGTAATAGTGAAATTCTAGTTATTTAATATTTACTGTTAGACAATGTGAATGACGGGTTTGTAGTGAAATTAAAGACATTATTGAGTTTAATATGATTTGGTTTCCTTGTGGTTGCAGAATTGGTTGTAGAGGGAAATGGGCGCTTTGCGGTTGCCATAGACTCGGTAACTTTCCTTTTCCATGACGTTATTTGAATTTGATGAAATGGAAATATGATTATTCTGGTGTTATTTTTTAGTGGATAGATTGTAAGTTACAAATGAAATTTAGTTAATTCTTTTTTTTCACTTTCTGAGAGGATTTTGGCAAAGCCTATCTAAGAATGAGAGGAAGCTTAATGTAAAGAATCCAGTACCTGCTAACAAAAGGAGGAACTTAGCTGTTTGGCTACATTGAAAGATGAAATCTGGCCTCGGCTTGTTTTGTTTTTTTTTTTTTGGTAAATGAAATCATCTAAAGTTCTTCATTTCTCAAAGATGCCAAAAAAGCTTCTGGGATAAATTTAGCAACATCCATAGTTTGCAATTCCTTATAGTATTATGAATCTTACTCCATGCACTCTCTTTACTTCTGATGTAAAGTAATCTCCAGAGTAGTTTCTGCATATTTTGCATTTTGCTGTATGCTTTCTGTGCTTCCTTTCTGACCCGTGACCGTATAAACAGTCTGGATTCTACATACATCGTTTGAAGGTGGTTCTTTTGAATTTGATCACCCTTTATTTCTTATTGTCCACCGTAGATGGTAAAACAGAAATAAATTCCTTTCAATTGCTACAGTTTAAGAACAAAGAAAGGTTCGTTTTTATAGATTATGTTGAATCACTTGATCTAAGCTTAAGCTTTCAGAGAGAGCCACGTGTATATCAATAACATTTCGTCTTCAACATGTTCCCTCACGTGTAAAAATGTTCTTTTTTTCCCCTCAAAGCCTGACACCTGCATAGCTTCATTAAATGGATTGAGGTGAGACTTGAAGCAGGACTCTTGCTTACTGTGATACAATGTTGATCTACTTGATTTAAACAGTTTAAGCTTTTTAGAGAGAGCCACATGCTCATCTTCAACAAATTATTCTCTTGTTTGTGAAACAAGGCAAGGAATATCACTAACTAGGCTGCATTTCTTAAGCTTATTATTAGTAATGCTCTTCAGCTGAAATGGTAAAAATAAAAGAGTTGGAGGTCTTTAAATTCCTTTTGCGAACTGCATAATCTTCGTCAGCTATGAAATCTGAGCAAGTACGAGGAGTAACACTTATGAGATCTTAGACTTCCACTGCACTGTTCCATTCTCTGTAAAGAAATAACAGCAGCAGAATCAGCAGCACAGAGAAAATTTCATGATAGAATCTTCTGAGACTGATGTCTTCTAATCATTGTATGGCAGTAATGGGGGTCGCATTTGATGGTTTTTCTTCATCAAAATTCCTTATGCACTTTATCCAATAATAATTAAATGAAAAACTCTATTAAAACTATAAATGGCAAAGCAGGCCTTGTTGCCAATGTTAAGGAACTGAAGATCTGGCAGCTTATTAGCAAGAAGTGGAGTCAATTAGTTTTGAGATTTAGATTGACTAAATTTCACATTGATTGTCAATCAGATTAATAGTTGTTAGAGGTTAACTGGTGTTCTCAATTGAGATTTTAAACGATTTTAGAAGTCCTTCTAAATTCGGGTGTTCCCAATTGAGATTATAATGGATTTTATTAAAACCCATTGCTTGCTTATGTTGTGTGTTGACAAATTTCCCTGTTTCTTGTTTCCTATTTCGTAGGGATTTATTTCCTATTAGGTTGTTTTAAAATAAAGGGATAAGGAAGGCTGTTTCCTATAATCTCTCTAGTCTTTAATTCTGTGATTTATTCCTTAAATTAAGGGATTGTTAATTTCTATAATTATGGAGAATCCTTGACAGATTTGTTGTCAAGCTTCACTATATAAGGCCTTTGCCTTTCTGGTAATAAAT